CTTAAACAAGGAGATTAGAAATCCTAAGGGAGCATGGTAAGAAAAGAGAAGAAGAGAACATTAAGTAAGACATGAAATAGGAATGAATGAATGGATATGCAATACAACACACAAGCAAAGGGAGGAAATAGTGTGGGGTGAACACCTCCACAAGCACATCTCAACCTTTATTAATGCAAGAAAGGAATGCACAAAGAGAAAATATGAAAGGGAAAGAAGGAGAGGATTGAATGAGATGATGGGAGGCAAAGTGATAACCAAGGGAACTCACAAGGGCTACTCAACCAAACATACTACATCCAATGCACACAAATCACACAAATGGTCCTCAAAGGCTCACTACTTATGGCCTGCCTTAAGTTCCTCCAAAGGAGGGACCAAGCTTCCATAAGTAGGATCCTAAAGTCCTAGGACAGAAAGAGATGAAGGAAGAATGTACACAAAGTAAATGAAAAGAAATTCACCAAAGAATGCAAACAAATCATGTAAAAGATAAGAAACATTCAACAGGTGCACAAGCAAAACCCTAAAAGAAAGTCCTAAAAGAAAGGCAAGTATCAACAAGTTACAAACCATATTAGGACCTATAATTGAACCTATACATGCTTCAACATCTCAGGGTCATAAAACGGCAAGAGTTGGTGCTCAAAAGTTTGCACAAATATCATTTTCAAGGCCTATTAGTTCAAACATGTGTGTGAGCTTCAATTATAGGACACCTAACTTGTGAAATACCCTAAAAATAGAAAACAAACTCAAAAATTGTCAAATAAAATCCTAGATGGCCCCTAAGGTGTTAGGAACCAGGGTCCAAAGCTATGGGGAAAAGGTCTAAACAAGACTATGCAAACAGAGGTGAAACCCTAAGGGTACCTCAAATGGACAAAGGGAATCGGGGGTCACTAAACAAGTCCTAAAACCCTAACCAAAATGCCTCCAAGCAGGGGAAAAACTGTCCAAGAAAATCAATTAACATGTCAAGAATATGCTAAAGAAAAATCAGCCATTAACATAAAGAATTCATCACAAAATAAAATGAAGAACATGGGGTGTACAATTTCAATCCAATTAAAATACCTCACAAAGCAAAAATCATTTTTAATTGGAAAGTGGCTTTAAAAATTAAGTGAAAATTTTGTAAAATCACTTAACATCCTAAAATATGTAAAAAGTATCTTTTGGGATTTTTATCATTAATTGAGGTATTTTAATGGAATTAAAATTGAAACAGCAAAATAATGAAAAAAAATAAAGAAAGGAAAATGGAAAACATGCGTGTGGAATAGCAATTCAAATCAGTTATATTTCTTACTGGGCTCAACAGGGGGGTGAGTAGCTATTGGAGCCCAAGTCCAAGACAAAGTTTAGAGGGGATGAAACGCCCCGTTTCATTAATCATCTGTGGCAGTCAACACAAGTCAAAGCGTTCAAGATTAAATCGTGTCCGTTGGATTAAGATAGGTCAACAAATCTTACTCTGATGTGGCATTACACGCAAGCCTGGCCTGGACTAAAACCAGACGTCGGAGCCACCGTGCTCCGGTCGTCTTCTCCAGTTAACCAAAAACGCAGGAGGGTCAAAACTCCACCAAAACACGTGATTTTTTAGTCTAAACTCATCCTCTCCTCATGTACATCAAGAATCTAGCCTTAATTTTCATTTTTGGTTTATAATTAGGGCAATACGAAGCAAATCAGTTTCAAGCAATATCCAAGAATCATCAATAACAACAACCAAACCAATCCAGAAATGATCTATAAGCATAATATGGTGCAAAATGAATTCAACCCAACTATGGCTTTTAAGTACTCTTTCCATGAGATTTTCTTCACCATACTTCACATACAAGTCAAATCCATGACAAGTGATGGTTTAGTGATGAAATTGAGCTCATTTGGTACAAGTTTGATGTTGGAGAAAGTTCCATTTGAAGTATGCAAAGTTGTGAAAATGACTTATAACCAAAATGACCTATAATCAAAGTTTCCCAAAATACCCCTACCTTGCAAGCTTCATATCTTGAGCTCTACAAATCAGATGAAGGACTTCTAGTACTTTTTAGAAAGCTAAGATCATAAGGGAAAATTTTCATGTTTGGGTCAAAGTGAGGAGAAACATCCTTCTAGGTCAAAAATGTCTTGGAAGTTGGTTGACTTTTGTTGACCAAAATCACATTCATCTGAGGACCCATAACTTGTCAGCATCATAACTTGAGTTCTAGAAATCAGATGGATGAATTCTAGTACTCAAAAGAAAGCTAGAAATATGCTCTACAAGTTTCATGTTGGAGTCAAGATGAGATGAAACTTGTATCTTGAGATATGTGGTCTTGAAGTTAGGTATTAAATAGGGGATTTTACACTGACAAGCTTAGAAACCCTAGCTTAGCAACTTCTCACACTCTTGATTCTTCTTGATTTGATCTTGGAATAACATCTTAGATATCTCAACACAACTCTCCATGATCATAAAGCCTTGGAATTGAGTCTTAATCTCCTTTAACTCAACAGTTGACCTAGGGTTGACCAGATGAAAACCCTAGCTGCATCATTATGACTGTGGCTTCTTGCACTTGGTATAATGACTTGAACAAGCTCCTCAATGACCCTCAAGAAATTCAATGAACTTATATAATACTCTCCATCCACAACCATGGACTCAATATCATTTGATGAACTTCACATGGCCTCCAAGATAGGAGGTGAACCATATTCATTCATCTGCCTTTTCCAATAACTTTGACTTTCTTCTGATGATGATAAGCACTTGATAGCTTGAATAAGACCCCTTGCTTAGGCTTAGAAACTTTGGTAATCTCCTCTTGCTAGGCACACCTCTCTCAATCCCCTGCAAATGAACAATGGTACGCAAATGCTAATGCTATGAAAATGCAATGAAACATAAACCAAGTTAGAAAAAGGTTGGGCAAATTTTGGGGTACAACAGGATGGAATGCGAAATGAAATGACTAATCTAAGGGAAAATTTTGGGGTATTACACCAAGCTCTTACTATCTTGAACCATTTATTGAATATATGGTTTGCAGTCTTTAACAATTCACTAAATTTCTTTTCTTCGTTTACCTTTAGAAATACTCTATCTCCCTCCAAAGGTAATGACTTTACAGTGATGATTCCTTCCTTTATCATCTTTTGCTGTAAGTTTTGAATATCCTCTATGTTGCGCACGAACCTCATGTAACCTTTCTTTGCCCACTCTATTTCTTCTTCTTTTATTGTGAACTCCAAGTCTCCACCCCCTTGAGCTACTTCTTTCTGTATTTCTTTATTTTCTTTTTGTCTCCATTTGTGTGTGTGTGTTTTTTTTGGTGTCCTATATTATATTTGATTGCATTTGCGTGTTATTTTCCTTCCCTTCTACTTCCATGGATTCTTATACGAGGTTGCTTTGTTCTGATATCTCTAACTCTGTACTTTACAACGTTTGTTTGTTTTGAATTCGATTGCCTGCCTTGATTTTGTTTCTCCAATGTTATGTTGTGCCTTCCTCTCATATATTGATATTTTCACCCTTGCTTTGTATGTTCCAAATCAAATGTCCGTGAGTTGGCTTTCTAACCAAGCTTGATTTTTCACTCCTGTAAATCTAACAAATCCAAAGTATCTTCCATTCTTTTTCTTTTTGTTTGCTAAATATACATCTATGACTTTCCCCTGTTAGCAAATTTTCTCTCTACCTCTATCCTTGTTACATCCCTCGGAAGATTGTTCACATAACATGTAATTATTCCATCATTAGCCCTGTTAAACCTGTCACTCTTGTTGTGATCCGGTTCTCTTGCTCTCCTCCTTCTTGAACTCACTTGTATCCATTCCTCTCTCTCATTCTTGTTTTCTACTTGGTGATATAACTTTTATTGAGACAGAGGATATATCTTACAGGAATTTCCAAGCTAAAAAGTTGTGTCACGCTCACGATCTAGAGTAGTTTTCCCAAAATAATAATAATTGTGATCGAGTTAATGGTTAGGGTTGAAAAATTAATAGGAAGTGTGTTAGTTCATTGGAAGTGTGACCAAGACTGCTGTGTGTAGTTAAGTTGTTACATAGAGGTCTAAAAAAATGTTAATTAGATAGGGCAGTTAATATGTGCACGATCATCATTAAAACATGAAAAAATTAGGATCGTGAGTACCGAGTAATGTATAGAAGAATAGTTGTTAGATAGAGGTCTAAGAAAAAATGTTAATTTCACAAGTGGTTGAGTTTAACTTAAAAACAAAATTTTTTGAGAACCAATTTCATATTACATACTACATCTATTTCAAAATGATTTATTGGTTTTAAATTTTTATACACAGATTAAAAAAATACAATAATATTCTCATAAGATAATACACTTTTACTAAATTAAAAATATGTTAAAAATAATGTAAAGAGTAATAATTAAAGGTTATAAACCACAAATACTCCAAACACGACTCTGACAATGATACAACGACACCGATAATAATTTCAAAAAGCAAATTAATTAAATGTAATCACAAGTGTCAGTGCAAATGTTCAACCCCGACACGGACACAAACTCACCATTTTTCAAAGGTGTTCGTGCTACATACATTAAAAAGTATTATTGAAAACTAACAATCATTTCTACGTTAAAAAATCAGAATAACAATCAATCTAAAACAAAATTTATTAGTTAGAGCGATAGTCATTTTGAAACATAGCCCAAAGATGATTTCAACAGTATTGTCCACTATCTACCGATAAATAAATGAGAAATGTCCTACAAAAAGAGCAGTGCTACAGCTACTGCCATCCAACCTTTTCAAAAATCCAGAAAATTAAAATATATATATATATATATATATATATATATATATATATATATATATATATATATATATATATATATATATATATATATATATATATATATTATAAAAATAAAATAAAAAAATAAATTCATTTTCTACTCATAATTTACAAGGACAGCAAGCAAAACCTCTGCAGGTAGGAAAATAAAATCATTGAGTTCAGTATGACTTCCCACAGTGTATCAAGCTTCCAGCACCTAAGAATAAACCAAAAATAGCAGCACTTCCAAGTGTTGTTTGTCCAATATGCCTAATTTTCAAAAGTCCAGGTACCTGCATCTCAATGAATCAATTGATTGAAATGCTGCAACATATAATCTCTGACAGAACTAACACATTTTTGTCACAATCAATACATAGTAAGTTTTCAATCACAAATCTGTAGCTGATTATTTATATGCTTGATTATAACAGAACATTCCATATGGGGATTGATGGGTTTTCAATATGAAGTATTATTACGAGCATCAATCACAGAGACATAGCAAACCAGATAATGGAACTCAGACCACGGAAAGATTGTCGGAACAAACTAAGGGGAACTTGTCTATGAATAGAAAATGGGCAAGTTTTGAATTGCTAAACCTGTTGTTTTACATACATAGAGAAATAACAAGAAAATTTTAGTAAATGGTTGCTATAGACAGACTTAAATATTTGTAACATAAGATATTCCTCATGTTTATTTCTAATGCATAAAATTTAAAATGTTAAAGAATCTGCATTCATGTTAGACCAGAAAACTTTGACACCACTACTCCAAGTCTCTAACCAATGTTGTCACTCGTGAGTCATAGAAAATACCAGTTTGTTCCAATTCCGCTGCATTACAATGCTATAGCCATTATTTGACAACAACACTTTGAACTAAATTGCGTATTGTGGGAAAAAGAACAATTTGTTCACATTCCATTGCACTATAGCCACTATTTGACAACAACCGCGGGTTCGAGAATCTAACTAAAGAACAAATCTGTGATGAGTTCATGGAATAGTAAACCCATCTTCAGTTTCAAGAAGTTTGTCTAGCAAATGGCACTATAACTAGATTCTTGCACTGTCTCTATCTAAAAACAAACCACTTCACTTGCAACTTATATTTTGTAGATTCAATTATATCATTTGTGTATTTTCCATGTGTTATATTTTATTATAAGACGTTGTTGTTCCATGATAACCTATGAAGCACGGACACTGGAAACACGACATCTGCACTGACACATCAACACGGGTAATAATTTGAAAAAATAAATAAATTAAACATAATCACAAGTGTTGATGTATTTTTTTTAGAGGTGTCATAGCTGCAGAGATGTTAACCAAATCCAACAATAAAACATACTACTATTTTTCTTCAAAGCACTCAATGTATAGATACTTATAAAATTTCACAATATTTTACAAAAGCCATTAATTTGTTTAAACAATCTCACTATTGGAGTTTAAAAAAAACAAGACCATATAACATACCTTATACCTAATAGCCTCATATGTTCCATAAACAGCCCCTGGAAAGAAGCCAATATATTAGGTGATGACAATGCAGCAGTTTTGGAATTAAAAGTATAAACAAGAAACTGAAATTACTAAAAAAAGGGTTTTCTCAAATCAAATAAACCCTAACTCAATTTGCAAAAATGTGGACAATTTCAATATAAACCCTATTGATTCTATTTCAATAACAGCATCATCATTTAGCAGTTAGAAGTTGAAATACGATAATTGATATCGCAAAATGGAGTTAAAATCAAATAATAACAAAGGCCCTAAAATCAAATAATAAAATGATTATAAAAGGAGTGGGTAACTGACCAACGGCACCGCCAACAGCGCCGCCCACGGCAGCACCGGCTGCGACACGAGCGAGGCAACTGTCTCTGGCCATTGCGAATTTGTGTGTTGTTCGGTTTGGAGAAAACTCTGAAATAAACTCAGTTTTTAACTTTAGTCCATTAAATTTTCTCTAATCCACTTTAATATTATTTTATTGAACTTTACCCTTACTTTAAATTTTTATAAAATAATATACATATATATATATATATATATATATATATATATATATATATATATATATATATATATATATATATATATATATATATATATATATATATATATATATATATATATATATATATATATATATATATATATATATATATATATATATATATATATATATATATATATATATATATATATATATATATATATATATAAAATAAAATTTGTTTTGTCTTTATATACTTTTAGCCCCTTTTTTTAATGTATATAAGTTAAAATATAAACGAAATTTTTAATATTAATTTTGAATAAGAATTAGGTAAAAAGTTAATTGTAAAAAGTTATATAAAAAATTAATTGTAAAAAAATAAGTAAAAAATAATAATGGTAGTTTCAATAAAAATTATTATACAAGTTACAAGTAAAAAGAGTAAAATTGATAGAAAAATAGATTACATCAAAAACAAATTTTCTCTCTTTATATATGATATAGATATAGATTATAGATACATTTAGGTTGCATTTTTCAAATTATTTTATTTTTACAAAATATTATTAATAAGACCTTAAAATAAAATTAATTTAATAATTTAAATATATTTAACTTTTATTAATTTATCTATAATTTTAAATTAAAGATCAAATTTTTAAACAATAGGTTAAACTACTAAATTATTAAATTTATTTTTATATCATATGCAATAAAATTTATTGTATTTATTCATAACGTGGATTCAAACTGAAAACAATCAACTAATTTCATAAATTTTGGTTAATTTCAAAACTTATAATATACTAAAAGAAATTTATTTTTCTATTAATAACATAAATACTAAAACCCATTTTTTTTTTAAAATAAACAAGTGTTTAAATCTCTAAATGATGGTAAAAGAAATCTTTCTTCACTTTAACAACAATGAAAAATAACTCATCATAATAACCAATCAACAAAAATTATAATTTCTATAAATATTAAAAGGCAATAACGAACGATTATATATCTACAACTATAAAACATACAATTAAGAACAAACACAAATATCACAAAATAAAAAACCAATGCATATTATAAATGTAAATAACTTTTAACCAAACCAATAATAAGGATGAAAAGTAACAAGTGCAACCACAAATAATTCAAAATATTCCTACATTATGCAAATGCAAATGTCACACAACTCGACCCTAACACACATAAAAAATATGAAGATTATTTTCTCTAATACCATATTGTAACACCTTAGATTTTGATCCAGGACATTATTAAAAAAATATCACCTTAATAGTAAGTGGCCATTTTTTTAAACGATATATATTTCATGATACATTTTAAAAATCATAACTAAATAAAAACTATTAAAATAAACTATTTGTGACATTACAAATCGTCGTATTTAAAGTTTTGAAAAATAAAATAATCTTCCTTACAAATAAAATTACAAAGTTCAAAACCCTTTATTGAAAATCCTCAAATCCAAGGAATATTTTATAGTTTCACATTTTGAACTAATTAGTATATAATATATTATATATAAGGGGTCAATCTTCCATCATCCATGTTAGATCAAACAAAACATACAATACAATAATATAAAGTAAATCATACAAAACATATCAGCTTAGAAGAAATCAAATGTTATGCATGCTTTTAGCACTATATGATAGTTAGTTCTACTGCTACAAAAAAATTAGGGTTAACTCATAAAACAATCACAACAAAAATAAAGGAAAGATAAAAATTTGTCATTAATTTTCTACCCTAGAATAAGAGACAACTAACTTTTAAATACTAGGATCCAAAGGATTAAAACAAACACTGACATAGGCCCACTTGAAGGAATACAAAAATTGCACAAGTCAAAGAAATAAAAGAGTTATTGCATAACATAGTCATTCTGCCAAAAGGATTTCTTCATTATTCTATTGGGTCTGTTGAACTTCCTATCACTACTATCCGGCCCAGTTAAAACCTTGTCCTCAAGGTTAGAGAAGGATGTTGTAGAATTTGGCCTATTAGGAATAGTAGCAGAATTGGAAAGGTTTGCTTTGGTTGCCACTTGGGGAATTGAATGGGTGGGTTTCAAAAATTGGGAGGATAGTGTGTGATTTGAGGCGAAGTGGGAGTAGGTGGTTGAACCATGTTGTTGGGCAGGTGAAAATGGGACACGTGTTCGGTTGAGGGAAAGGTAAGGGTAGCCGTTGGAGATCCAAAGGGCATGGTGGTAGCCAGTGCATTGGGGAGAGGGACAAGAGTTAGTGGGTTATGTGGGGAAGGGGGCAGTAGACTGATTGAGAGGAAATGTTGGGAAGCGGTGCAGGGTCTTGGGAAATGGGAGACAGGGCGGTGTCACGTGAGGGTGTGGGATTAATTGGAGAAGGAAATGAAGGTGGGGCCCCTGACTTAATGGAACAGTCAAAGGATTTAGAGAATCCAATGCTGCTCAATGGTTAGGATTTTTTCGAAGCATTTGGTTGAGAATCCTGTGGTTGTGATTGGATGAGGGGAATAGTTGGTAAACCTGTGAAATAAATATCCTCCCCTTGCTTCCAATTTGCATTTCCACTTCCTAAGTACGCCTTAGTTGACACACGAGATTTCTCTTGTTGCAAGTGTTGGTTTAAAGTACAATTTTGTTCCTTCTGCAGATTGTTAAATGTAGTCGTTGAATCACATAAATATTTAGTGTCCAAACACCCTAAGTCTGTTGAATCTTTTAATTCCTCCATGGCCATTGTTTCTGAAATCAAACCGTCTTCGTTTCTCAGTGTATCCTCTTGCATATTTTCTAGTAGAGTTGTGAGTTCGATAGGTGGTTCTGGTCCGTGATACGCCCTTAAATGTGAAATATGAAACACTGGGTGAATCTGTGAAGCTGGTGGAAGCTGAAGTTCATATGCAACAGGTCTGATGCAACGCAATACGAGAAACGGTCCGAAAAACATTTGGATAGTTTCTGAGAAACTCTTCGTTGGACCGAAGTTTGCCGATAAGGTTGGAGCCGGAGCAAAACGAGGTCACCTTCTGTAAAGGTACAATCTTTTCGTTTTTTATTCGCTTGTTCCTTCATAACTTTTTGGCTTTTGTTAAGATTATATCGGAATCGTTCAAGAATGATTTGTCTGTCTTGCAGAGTTGTATCCACAAAGGCTAGGGTTGAAAAACCTTCAACGTAATCTTTAAGGACCGGAGGTTGACGGCCGTATAGAGCCTCAAATGGCGTGATTTGGATTGAGGAATGGAATGTCGAGTTGTGCGAATATTCTGCCAGATGAAGATATTTGAACCACTTCTTAGGGTTATCACTTGTGAAGCAGCGAAGGTAAGTTTCCAAGCATCTGTTTATGACTTCCGTTTGACCATCTGTTTCTGGATGATAAGTCGTGTTGTATTTCAGGGCGGTTCCTTGGACACGAAACAACTTTTTCCAAAAGGCGCTCAAGAAGATGGGATCTCTGTCAGAAGCAATCAACTTTGGTATCCCATCGAGTCTGCAGATCTCAACAGAAAAATGCATTGCCAAGTCCTTCGCAAAAAAGCTAGTTGGTAAAGCCACGAAATGTACGAAATTGGTTTGCCTATCACAGATCACCCAGATGACGGTATGGCCAAAAGATTTTGGTAGGTGAGTAATGAAATTTATTGATAGGTCTTCCTAAAACTGTTTTGGAATCTCCAAAGGTTAGATTAACCCTTGTTTCTTTGTTGGTTGATACTTATTGTGTTGGCAAGAGGGGCAGTATTGGATTAGTCTCTTGACTTCTTTGTACATCCCAGGCCAGAGGAATGTTGTAGCAGTTTGTGACAAGGTTGGCTTCAGACCAGAATGCCCTACAGATGAAGTAGCATGAAATTTTTTGAAGACAGTATCACGGAAATCCAGATCACCAGGTACCAAACTTCTGTCTATGAAATATGCCAGCACATTTTTGAAATTATAGTTGAGTTGCATCTTGAGGTCCTACTAAGATTTACTTATCAGATTCTGACCCTTTGAATTTTTTTTATGTAATACTGTTGGAGCTCTGGAGGAAGGTTGGAACAGGAGATGAGATGGTGAGCATCAGGGAGTCGTCATCAAAGTGTTTTCGACTCAGAGCGTCTGCTACTTGATTATATTTCCCCGGTTTGTAAAAAATCTCAAACTGAAACCTTGTAAATTTGCGCCCATTTTTGTTGTTCGGGCATTTGAATTGTTTGAACCAATAATTGTTTTAGACTCTTCTGATCTGTAAAAATGTGAAAATGGTGTCCAATCAGGTACTGGCGCTACTTCTTAACAGCCTTTGTAATGGCGTACATTTCCCGAACATAGACGCAAGATGCTTGAAGCCTGTGACACATTTTCTTGCTGAAGAAGGCCAGGGGGTGACCATCGTGTGAGAGCACAACTCCAATGGCAAATGTTGAAGCATCAGTTTCAACCACAAAGGTTTTGTTGAAGTTTGGAAGAGGCAGCACTGAAGTTTCTGTCATTTTATTTTTTAAACTTGTAAAAGTAACATCAGCATCTGCATTCCATGTAAGCTTTGTAAAATGTAATAAATTTGTGAGCAGAGTGGCGAGTGTGGTGTAGTGTCGTACAAATCGCATATAAAAACCGGCGAGGCCTAAAAATCCCATGAGCATCGTGAGTGAGCGTGGCTTTGGTCGATCCAAAATGGACTGAATTTTTTTTGGATCAGGGGTAACTCCACAAGATGAAATAACATGACCTAGATAATCAATCTTAGGGACTGCAAAAACACACTTAGAAAGTTTTGCAACAAATTTATTTGAAGCAAGTAAATCCAAAATCAAAGTCAAGTGAAGCAAATGATCCGAATAAGAATTGTTGTAAATTAGAATATCATCAAAGAAAACAAGAACAAACTGTTGTA